GTCCGCAATGTCAACCACTAGAGGGCAATCCAACATGCCTGAAGACTCCAGAAACTTCTTGCTAAGTGTAAGAGAGACAAATGATCGAGTGGCACCCGAATCAAACAACACCTAAACTGGTATGTCATTTACATGGAACGATCCTAAGCAAGGCACATAATATATCAAAATCACAGCGACATAACATAAAGGCATAAAATAAGAAATCATAACTGTCGCCACATCGGGTGGAGTGCGTGCCTCCTCGGTTGTCAGCTAAAATGTTCGGCTCCAAACCACTAAAGCCTCCAACATAGCCTTCCGACCATCCACAAGCCGTGTTGTCGCTGGAGTCGGCGCCACCGCCGGCACAGCTGCTGCTGCTCTCAATCTAGGGTAATTGGCCTTTTGATGGCCCTTCTGATTCAATGAAAGCAAATTAGGTCATATATCTGAATCGCAGGAGTAGGGGCAGTACAATCTCTGCCAAAACGTCCAACGTTCCCACACTTGTTGTAGCCTGAACCCGGCCCAGTGCGACAAGCTCCCTCATGCGACCGACCACATTTCCCATAGCGGTCCCGCCCTAACTGGCCTTTCAGCCTACCATCGGATCCCTTAGGCTTCTTCCCCGAATCCCCCATCATCAGCCCCTCCGCTGCCTTCCTCTTTTGGATGTACGTTAAATCAATCTCCCTCTCCCTAGCCCTGGCAATCACGGAATCCAGGGTAGGGCATGCTGAGAAACTGACATTCTCCCGGATGTCAGCTCATAGCATTTCACGGTAGGGGGTCCTCTTCGTGTCTTCATCACTCGCATACTGGGGCACCAACAATGCCCTCTCCCGGAACTTGGCGATGATCTCCACTACAGTCTCCATAGTCTGTCTTATATCCAAAAACTCCCTGGCCAGCTGCTAAAGCTCCATAGTTGGCACAAACTCCGCCCTGAACCTGGTCACAATGTATGAACACGTCATAGCCTCAATAGCCAAGGCTCCCAGAGAGTCACCAACCGACTCCCACCAATCTCTGGCCTTGTCTCTCAAACACCCTGAAGCGAAACGGACCTTTAACCCTTCCGGGCAGAAGCTCGTTAGCTGTGCAGACTCGATGTTTGTGATCCATCTCCTAGCAGCAATGGGGTCTTCAACCCATGGAAATATGGCACACCACTCCCTTTGAAGTCCTTAAAGGACAGTGTGCGTGGCCCTGACTGGCTGGTCACGATGTCACTCCTGAACGCCCTGAAGCGATCCTCCATCAACTCAATGATCCCTTCGTTGACCGACCCGAAGATAATCGACATCGAATCAAGGATACCCTTCATGATCTCGGACGCGATGAACTCGCGTAACCCATCATCCACATACTCGGATCCTGCACCTGAGCCCGATCCTGACCCAGATCCTGAACCTCCTGCTCCATGTTGCGTGACCACCATTATGAAAATAAACATATGATTATTAGGGTAACATATACCTTTTAGAGGTCTCACACACTTTCCAAGTTTCCATGTTCCATCTAGGCCCTCCTTGATTCGAGTACGGGTCCTCTGCTTTCAGTAGTACGGGCCCATACTACCTTCCACATCTACCCGTACTTTCCTCAAAGATTTCTTTGACTGCGCCAAGTCCCTTTTACCGATACCCTTTCGACTGACGTCATCCTAGGCTTCCCTAGGGCACTCTCCGACTTAGCGTCCACCATCAGTTGCACTAGGAGTCCCCACCACCTCCCCCTAAGTAGCTTGTGGATAGTATTACATATCCGTTCCTTAGCTAGTTGAAGATGGCCACAACCCACCCACAACACCAAGCAAGCAGCATTTGTGCATTGGGTAACCAAAATCAAGCATAACCTACACATGCCATCCTACTGTTGACTAAACTGTCCTAGCATACAGCTCATACAACAGGCATATAAGACATCCTCCGTAGACCCTTAGCCCTAACTAGCATGCAATTCTCATAATCATATATCAGGCACACAAGGCATCCTCCTAGATCATTAGTCCTATTCTAGCATGCTATTTTCTGAATCAAAACCATATGACATAACATAGCAAGTATGCGTATCTTGGGGAAAACTTACTTGAGCCCGGCCGGTCGCATGCATCACACACTGCATCTTTCTTAAAATCCTTCCATTTAGATTTTAGAAACCATTTTCCTTGTAAAAATCTTTTAGTCCCTCAGTTTGAGTCCAGACACCCCCGAGGGTGTGTCCGAATCCCTCAAACCAGGGCTCTGATACCAACTTGTAACATCCCAAAATTCAAGCCCGAAAATTTCATTTTTAAATTAATAACCTAATAAACATTTTACCAAAATATGGTCAAATAACAACACGTTTCAAAATCATAATGTTGTGTCCCAAACTATGACATCAAAAATAATAAAAATCAGAGTACAATCCCAAAAACTCAATGCGCAAACCCTACGTGTGTGTGTGTAATGTGCTGCTACACCACCGGCTCTTTGCCCTTCAACGAAGAAGTACTTGAAACCAAAACCAAACTATAAGCACAAAGCTTAGTGAGTTCCCCCATCATACCAGATACCATACAAAATCATCGATATTTTTCAACCGGTAACCTTCATCGGTATCTTTCAACTGGTATCCTTCATCGGTATCTTTCAACCGGTAACCATTGGTATTTTTCAGCCGGTAACTGTCATCGGTGTCTTTCAACTGATCACTGGGGAACTATTTCACCCCCTACTACTAGCATACAATCAGGCATATCCGGGTACTGACTTACCCTTTGGTCCTAAGGACCACTGTCAGGGACACTAATCCATTATATACACATAACATATCATACAGATAAATCTCATGACCAAAGCACATAACTAGACCAAGATAATTATGACAAAGACAATCATCTTCTATATAATCCTCTTTGGTGGGTTGACATTTTGGCCTTAGACCCACCCCTACTGGAAGGTAACTCACCTCAATGTCGTTTAGTATTTGAATTATCCTCGGTGCACAAGTCGACTCCCTTCGACTCCTCGATCCCTACATGACAACCTTCAAGTCAACACACAGCATGTGCAACCCTAAATAGGGTTAGTCCAAGTCCAGTCAAAGTCAACTTCAAGTTGACGCGACTCGCCGAGTTCGACCGTCAACTCGTCGAGTCCCTAACCCTTTACTCGCTCTTATTCATGAATCGACTCATCGGGTTTGTCATCGACTCGACGAGTTCCTCTCTCATATGAACATTTTATGAACCTCGTCCGACTCTCCGAGTTGTACAAACATTCGTCGAGTCCACCTTCATCTGATGAACAAGTCCCGTCCTTGACTTACCGAGTTGTATGAACAACTCGTCGAGTTCATCTCCAATCTTAAGAAGATTGCCTTGGACTCACCGAGTTTGTTCTGGCACTTGTCGAGTCCCATGAACTCCAAGTCTAAAACTAAGTCCAATGTGTTGGATCACTCTTTATGTCCGACTACAACCCTTCTAACACTCAACTGAGTTCTTTGACCCCCAACATATTTGGGACTCAAAGCCTTGGACTCATCAACTCTAGGAACGGACTCGCCGAGTTGGTCATGTCCACACTCTAAATCCTCGATTTCTGATGTACGACCTTTGATCAAAAGATAGATCCAAGCTTCTACAATCGATCTAGCATGTAAAGTTACAAACTTTATGTGCTTGCAAGGGACTTTGAGCTCAAAAAGACATAAAACAAGCTCTTAAGATGCATGGGACCCTTCATGGTTGTAAAAGCAACCCCCAATTGTCTTCAGACTCCCTGAATGACTTGATTTAGAAGCCCCAACTCCAAACCATGTTTGCAATCACGGTTGGTCATAAAAAATGGCTTATAAAAGCCCTAAATCTCCCAAAAGAGGGATCTAACAAATGAAAGAGCAAGGTTACAAATTTTTACCTTCAATGAACTGTAGAAAGTGCACAAACTCGGTTTCCCTTGGTCTCTATTTGCTTCCTCAACCTTTTCTCCTCCCTTCTTAAGACCACAAGCACCAAAATCCATCAACAAGGCTTAGATTGCTTCACCAACGGCTAGGGTTTCAATGAGAAGTGTTCTGCGAGCATAAGGGACGTTGTGGTCAATATAACATTGTTTAAATAGGGGGCAAAGCCTCAGATTATGGTTTTTGTCCAGACAGGATCTACTCGTCGAGTCCACTGCTTAAACCCTGCGTCCCATCTTGCTTCTACTCGGCGAGTTGGTCCTTCAACTTTCCGAGTCCAAGGCAAAAAATGCAACATACGTAGATAAATATAAAAAGAAATACATACCAGGAACTAGGTTCTACACCATCATTGCAACCTCCAATATGTAGCATTTAATCATATTCTTTAGATGGTCAAAAATTGGATGATACTTTCTCACATCCTTCGCAACTATATTGAATATCGAAATCCAATCATATGGATTCATGATAGGCAAATCAGCCAGAGAAAATTCATGAAGCAGATGATTAGAACCCCAAAATCCTTTGAATTTAATGTTTGTAAAATCTTCAGTATCAAAAGATAATCCAACCTTGAAAGCTACGATCCTTTTTAGACTCCAGGACTCGTATTGAAGATTTCCATACATGAGATATAAATTGAAGAATTTTCTGTTGATCGTGTTGTTGGAGATTTGAGTCTTATCTATCTTCTCGAAGCATCCAAACTAAAATGCTCGTGTAGTGAGGGGAAAGTCCAATCGGCATTTGATGTCATTGCAAGTATCGAAAGATGTCATCGGTTCCACCCAATACAGTTTCAGATTATCGATGGCTTCCTTCTGAATTCTATGAATGGTCTAAGTAGGAAACTAGGACTTTTGACTTTCAAGAATTAAAGATGAATTTTTGACTTTAGCCTTTTCTGCCTCAAGCTTCTATAAAAGAGCAATGAGATTATCAAGCTCTTTATCTGGTTTCTTTCTAACAAGCTTTTCAGATTCAGACAGCTCTTCTTATTCTTCATCTTCATCAATTTCCTTTCCCTTGTCTTTCATTGATATAGAAGCTTCAATACCCTTCTAATCGATTTCTTCTTTTACTTTAACTTCCTCTTGTCCTACTTGTTTCAAAGAAGCACTTGATGCCGAAACACTAACAATCTGATTTAGTAAAGCGAACACTGGCTTATGTTTTTCTGAGAGAGGCAGGCGTACTGTATCATTGAATGGATGAGATTTGTTCTCAATGATTCTCAATAGTCTTTGATGGATTTCCGAATTGCAAGCATTTATTGAAAACTTCTCGTCTTGAAGCCTAGCAATTTCCGAATTTTCATGCTTCACCTTTTCATTCAGAACCTTAGCCTTCCGAGTTTGCTCTACAAGGGCTTCCATTATTTTATTCTCAGCAGCCAAGTCGACCTTTAATGTATCAAGTTTGTTGGTGATGGTTGATTGCAGATAAACGTTTTCCATCTTAATATCAGCTTGGATCTTTGAAAGTGCTTCTCTCTATATCAGAATTTAAAGAAGAACCAAATGCTTCAATTACTTCGTTCATAAAAGTTGTACTCTTATCTGAAGAGGCCCTAAAATCAGCCATAAATTGTTTGACTTTGGTTTGTAAGAGTTAAACCTTTTCCACAGCTTCAATGATCTTCTTGTCAGATGGTTGGGCAGCCTTTGTTGATTCTTCTATAACCTTAGAGTTGGCAGATGTGAGTTGCTCAATAGTTGCTTGATGAGTGTTTAGAAGATTTACCCACTTGGAAGAAGAAAAGACTTAAGAATGATCAATAAATGAGTTAATCTTCTTTGAAAGATTTGTGAACTGTCCCTTTTTCATAGGAGCATCATCATCATCATTAATGGGTTGAAAGGTTGAAAGACGAAGTCATGTATGGGTTCTTGTTTATCTCTAAACAAAATATCTTCATTTACAATAAAAGGTGACGCAGTAGAAGTACTAGGTTCGGTAGACACACTCGTATTGGCATTTACCCTCGTATCATATAGGTTGGTAGGGATGCTGGAATTTTGTATCTAATTCGAAAATGACTTGATTACAGGGACTTTTAGTGGATTGGAGACTAATGATGAAGTTGGATAGGTTGAATAGGTAAAGATGGGTGTCGATAAAGGGATTGAAATATAAGGAACAGACATTCCTACAAAACTAGATGGTGGCAATGGAGCGATCGATGATATTGGAACAATGGATATAAAGGGTGAGGATGGCATGGGTAAAATTGGTGGGATAACAGGTGGCGATTGTGGAGTAGTAGATAAGTTTAGAAATGTTTCTTTTAGATTGTTTCCAAAATGTCAGAAATTGGAATAGTGGAGGATAGTGGAGAAGATACCTTCGAAATCTATTCTCTAGAGGTTGATACTAAAGTTGTTGTAGTATCCTCTTCGTCATGTCTGATTATATCATCCTCTTGAAATTCCGTAAGAGTTCTTGATTACGATTCTTCCTGAAGTATTGGGGATGGAGATCTGGGTTTCTTTGTCGTCTTCTTTGGTTTCTTTATAAATTTGACAGTTTTGGAAAGAGTAGGTTTTGCTTTTCGTTTTCCTCCATGTTTGGATGTGTTGCTTTCATCAATCAACTTTTGTAGATCAGTTGGCATTGGACGAGCACCAGAAGATGGTAACTTCCGATACCCCCTCACTATCAAGTTGTGAAGAGGAACCTTTTCGAAAATTTCCTCTGGAATTGAGCCAATAAACTTGGATTTGCAAGGATCTAACATCACAAATGTGGACTTTGGAGTGTCGAAATTTCTAACGTTATGGAATCTTTCATCAAAGGGACTTTGAAGCGGTCTAGGGAACGATTAACAATGATTGACCTGAATCTTGCACATGAATCTATGTGTGACAAGTAGAAGAGATGGTGCTTTGAATGAGTTGATTCGACATAATAGAACAATAGTCAAGATTGAATCCATGGTATAGTCCATAGATGAGTGTGTAGAATAACTTGCTTAAACTATCGGAACTAGCAACTTTTTTTCAAGAAATCTTGAATAGCAAAGTGAACAAACCATTCCACATTGGAGGAAGGAAGGGTTTCTTGAACTTGGATAGCAGTGAGATTTCGCCATTGTAGCCCATTTGATAGAACATCTCAATCAAGGAGGTGGTTGGAATCGATTCTGGATCAAATGAACTTCAAGCAAAGCGAGCCCTAGAAGTTTGCTAAATTGGAGTTTTGAGTAGCAATCTCAAAGTTGTTAAGATCATCAACCTAGTTATAGATAGAAGTGGAGAATGCCTTAGAGAGACCAACTAGGGGAACATGTTGAACCATTTTAAGGCTTTCACCAGCGTCGAGAGCTTAAGACACTCGATCATAGGCCTGATTTGAGCATCATAATGTGAAGCATTGAGATTAAGAATCAAGTTCTAGTTTGGCTTGATTGTCAACATGATGACAAAAGCGGATTGATTAGACAAAGAAACTTGCTCATAAACCTGCCATTGAAGTTTTAAAGAAGATGATGGACTATATATATATATATATATATATATATATATATATATATATATAGAGAGAGAGAGAGAGAGAGAGATAGAACAGTTCTTGCATTGAGAATTGTGTTTCTGGTGAAGGAAAATGAATACTTGTGGTTGCCTTATATATGGAATATGATGAGTGGAGAGAGAAACCCCCATTTTAAATTTGAGCACAACAAAAAATCAGCCAACAAAATTGTGACAGCTAAGCAATGACTGTCATAATCTGTTATAACAACCATCTGTGACATCCCCATTTTCACGGCCAGAAAAGACCGATTTTTGTTTATGCCTTATAAAAATCAGAGTTCTTCTTTAAATAAAAATGTTGCGGAATTTGTTCCCAGAAAAACATGATAAATACGTTTTTAAAACATTTTCGGAGAAACGTATTTTATTCATTTCAAAACGTTTGGGATGTCATCGTTAATACAGAAACATAAGCATAAACAGAACTTACATTTATTTACACTAGTGATCTACATCTCTTTAAACTCTCAGTGTAAAGTGACTTCGTATCAACACCTGTGATATAAATAAACTGAGTGGGTCAGATTGGGAAACCTGGTGAGTACATAGGGTTTTCAACCCACAATAATATAATTATTATTTTCAAACAATCAAACAATCAACCCAGTTACCCATCCCCATTATCTGTTTTATTCTTAAGGATGTACCCTAAGAATCAACTATTCCTCGTTCATACGTTCTTAAGGATCATCCTAAGGAATCGGCACGAAGTCCATCGTCACCAGGGTTTAGGCACTAAGTCTGCATAGTCGCCAGAATTTATACAATAGGCACTAAGTCTGCATAGTCGCCATGGTTTTGGCACCAAGTCTGCATGATCGCCAGGGTCTAGGTATCAAGTCTGCATGATCACCAAGGTTTAGAGTACACCGGGTGAACACATCGTTCACAACACCTACAGGTTGCGAGCCTGCTAGTGTTCCACTGGACTATCTAGGATAGTCCGTGGTTGTCATCCATACTCTGCTGAATGACGAGGACATCATTTGGGAAAAAGGCTTCTCACATCGTACACCTCTCACCCACACCTCGTAGTCTATATCACCTCTCAACTTATCATCCAACTCATATTTCATCTATTATATCTACCCATGTTTTACCCCAACATTTTCGTAGATATAAAATACATATATAGTTTAAATCATTTAAAACATGTACAAAATCGTTCATCCAGCATAGACAACAAGTATTCATATAATATGCACACATAGCACGTAATTTATATAAAATACTTCATATCTATGTGTAAGATGAAAGGGACTATGCACTCAGCTGATTGGGTGGTGAATCGGCACTCGGACAGCGCTTCGATACTCTCAAAATGATATTCCTTCGATAAAACCTAGTATTGATACCACTAGCGTTTAGTCTACCGATATCCACGATGAATTAATAGTCTGACTATTATTATTATTATATAAGCGTTAAATAACACTCAATATAACTCATAATAATAGCCCAAATAATTATTTTAAGATCCTAATAATGTTACTATAATTAATTAGAAGCTATATTAAAACTTGTGTAGGCATAGCTCACTTACAGCGGGTTTTTTGCAAAACCGGGCTTCACTGGAGCAGCGTTTCCCGAGCCGAAAGGCTCTTTTCTCAGAGCCGTCGGGCGCTCCGGGGTTTCCGCCTCGTGCTAGGGAGTTACCCTAGGCTTTAGGGGGTTAGGGAGGCTTAGAGAGAGAAAGAAGGGTTTGAAGGTGTGAAAATGAATGGAACCCGGCACCTCTATTTATAGGGGTGCTGACTGGCCTACTCGCCGAGTAGGGGGGACCTACTCGCCGAGTTGGTCCATGTGGTGGCCTTCTGGTGGTGCCACGTGTCCAATTCTGGTGGTGCCACGTCACCCCCTATCGCGTATCAGCCTTCAAACTTAGAAAAATCATAACTTTCGCACATGAGCTCCGTTGTCGATGTTCATTATATCCACGCGTAGGTAAAATCAAGATCTACAACTTTCATTTAGACTCCGTCGGCTAATTCTCGACCGATCTCAAATTTAACAGTAGGAGGCGTTCAGACTGTTAAATGACCGCGAAGAATTCATAATTCCTTCATACGGACTCCGTTTTCGTCTGTCTTTTTAGCGTTGAGTTCCTATTAATGAGACCTTCAACTCTCATTTAGGTCGCGTAAGCCAAAAACCGCTCGAACTAAAATTCGAGTTTCGGGCCGTGCACTGTTAAGCTGAATCTTAGAAAAATCATAACTTCCTCATACGAAGTCAGATTTGGGCGTTCTTTTTATTGACGCTCTTAGTTTAACATATTATACGACTTTCATTTAGATGGCTAAGGATAAATCTCACTCTATCGTAAATGCACTATTTACGCTTCCCGGTGCCTCGCTGGTTTTGCCGTAAAACTTCGACGGGCCATAACTTCTTCGTTATAACTCGGATTTCGGCGTTCTTTATATGTATGGAAACCTTGTGACAGATTCTACAACTTGGTTCTAAATAATCTTTTGTCGAAAAGTCATTTTCGACCCCTATTGTCTCTAAATTGACTAGCCCGGACCTGCGGGCGTTACAATTATCTACCCCTTAGGATGATTACGTCCCGGAATCATCAACGAAACAGGGATCGTATAATGACTCCATACGTCATCTCTTCATCCTAGGTAATAGTTATAACTTCTTTATTCCTTCGATTCTATCTCTTAGACTTATTGACTGTAAGTAGTACTTGATCGTGCACCTGCTCATACTTGATCGTGCACCTACTCTCTACCTCAGGTTAGACTCCAAATTATGAACTATCATCATGTGATGCACGTTTAGACTCAGGTCTTTTAGAGTTAAATTCTAAAACAGACTAAGCCTTCCTTCATGTTCTAATGCCATACTTTAACATTTAGCATTTCTAGCTACCAACGAGCACGATACTTTTATTGACCGCTTTGATTTTAATCGTTTGGTTTAAGTCGGACGCTACATCAAACATGGTTCTCTAAACCACGTAACATACTCATCGTAGTCGGACTCAATTTGATATGACCACTGGGGTCGGAATATCAACAATCTTTTTAGTCATTACCGAAATGATGGTAACGATATACTTGAATTAAACGAAATCAATTACTAGCTTCTTGGTAACCTTGTGACTTTCCCTGATCCAAGTGTGAGTCCTGTGCTTCCGGTAGTATAGGCCTCTACTACCATTCACACCTACTCATACTCGTCCCAAGTATTGTCCCGCAGTTTCCCAAGTCATCATACAAGAAAATCACATAACATTTTAACACATCGGCTAACAAAACGAAGGTTTTATTATTTATTGAAACTATTACATAGGTGTTCAAGTTCACCCTAGACTATGCCTCTAATAGGCTACACCATACGACACTATGGCTACTACATAACTTGATCTTCGGATATGAAGTCCTCATCATTGATTCCTTGCACGGTTTTCTGCTTCATCGAGGATCATCTGGAAGGCCCTTGGCCTCGGTGGCGTTTCTGGTCTTGCTGCTTTATTTTTCCCTGGGCAGTCCCTGGAAATATGCCCTTCCTTGTTACATCCATAACACACCTTCTTGTTGGATGCACACTTGCTGGCGTAATGCCCTGTCTTTCCACATTTGTAGCAAGTCACCTCCTCGCTACATTTCCCGAAGTGCTTCTTTTTACACTCCTCGCACCACTTGGTTTCACCTCCTCCTCCTTCTTCAGTCTTTGAG